AACCATAACGATTCTCTGATTCTATGAAGCATGGAGTGCTCACACTGCAGAGGGTACAGAGTGCTTTTATAACCTTAGAGTTTTTTTTTTAAATCTTTAAGCAAGAGATGAGAAGTGAGTGTATTGAATTGATGTGGGTTCACGTGAAATTTCATGAGCTTGGCACTTGCGTACTGATAGAGATGGTGGACGGAAGAAACTGTTCTGCAAGCGTGGCCCCTGTGTGCCTTCGGTTACATGATCGTTCAGAGTGATTTAAAACATTATTTTGTTTGTTGCTAAAAAGAGCAAAGAATTGTAAGTATAAGAGAGTGGAGTGAAAAAGACCTTGCAGAGATACAGTCATAAAAAAAAAAATACCTGTTCAGGCATTTGGCTTGTGTATCTGGCTCCTCTCGCTCTTGAGCACTGCAGCCTGCGTTTCCCAGATGGAAAGGTTGCGTGGTGATTATTTTCCCCCCACACACTGTGTGTTTTTACCTGTTCAAAAATGGGTTTGGAGAAGCATTTTCAATTATGTTTTTAGATATCTGTCTGCTCTTTTAAAAGTGTCCTTGTCTGTAATAATTACCATACTTTGCATAGTTAATAAAAGTCTACTTAAAATAATGGGAGAATAGCACTCATATTAAATTCCCTGGGTCATTTGACTTAACAGTTGCATTTGGTGGGCAGTGGCAAGTATAGTTCTACTGATGATGAGAATCAGCAAGCTGTTTAAACATAATGGATTTCAAAAGTCCATCATAAATAGATCTGTTTTATTACTGTCATCCAGGTAAGAGAGAGTGCCTTAGTAATTTCTCTGGAGATGTCATACTTTATAGTATAATTGAGTGTAACTATATTGCTTGTCCCTTGAGACTGGTATTATTTGTAAGTCTACAGCTGTGTTACATCCAGCCTCGTGATAAAGGGAGGATAAAACAGAAAATAATTTTAACTCTGCGGACTCTTGCTGCAAGTTCTCCCGGGTTGCTCTTGGCTGGCTGGAAGCGAAGAGATTTTGCATCTCGGCAGCATTTTGTCCTCTGTAAGTGCTGGGCTTAGAAGTTACATGGCTATTGTTCTGTGCCGTTGCAGAGGAATACATATATGTATACATACATATACACACACACACATATATCTCTATCTCGTGATGCTGGGACCGTGCAGAGACTTGCGCTGTGGTCCTCAGCGAACTCACCAGAGCTGGAGTGCGTTGCTGCTGTTAGTAAAAGAGGCATAGCAAGTGTTCCTGATTAGGGCAGAGTGCCCCTGTGAGCCTTGTTTCCTTTGTAAAGTGGATTTTAAAGACGGTAGGGATTCTGCTACTGTGTATGTTTCCGCGAGTACCTCATCCCATATTGTTAATGTGGAGATAGAGCAGCCTGCAATGAAAAAAAAGCCCCAAAATGATGGAAAAAATGGGATCAATTTATGTGGCAAAAATGGCTGTTTAATTGGGTTTCATAGCAAGGTTGGGCTTTCCCACTGATAAAGATGCCACTAGGGTGTATTACAGTATTGTTCCACCATATGTGCGCTGGTGCATAGGCCTGAAAAACATGCAAGGCTGCTCCTGGAAAAGACACCCAAAAAACTGCTTCAGTAAAATATTCAGTAAAAGTCATAGCATCTGCATCTTTTTCATGGCATGGTTAGATAAGATCCCCAGGCAAATTTAATCGGAGTTTCTGTTTCTAGCATGCATTTTATTAACCCCGTGTTTTATTGTTCAACCTATACGTTGACACTGAGTCAGTTTTGGGTTTACATATTCAGAAATGCTGCTAAAAATCTAGCTATTTTCCGAGACGCTTGCGACTACGTTCATTACCAACTAAAATGCTAAAACTCTTTCCGTTTGTAGCATCTCAAAGATAATGTGTAAACCACATTAGCTCCGACGCTGAGGAATCTGGCACCCGGCGTAAAAAAACCACCTGGTTATTTTGTATTTTATTAACTGCCCCTTCTCTTCAGTTTGCATAATAGCAAGTTAGATTTACATTTGTTAAGATGGCCCTGCATTACTCTTAATAGAAGATGTGTCAAACTTCCCGTTGCTGGTACTGCAGCATGATAAAGTAACCTCATATGATACTGATGAAGATTTCGTTCACACTTGCTGGTTTCATGCAACGTCTTTTTTTCCAGATGGATACCCTATTGTAAAATGATTTCCTGCTTTAGGCTCTGCTTTGTGTAGCTCTCCGCTATGCCATCTTTCTATGAACTGGATAAACTGCCTATTAAATTTAATTACAGCCTGAATGACTGCACATCTTGATCTTATTTTTCCTCCAATGTACTGTATTTCACCAAGGTCCTTGAGGATGAAATAAAATAAATCTGAAGGATGCATACTCCAGTAGCCGAAAGAAATGTTTCAAAGGGCATTACAATGACTGTTAACCCATTAGTTTTGGATCATTTTGAAGGCAATTCTTTAAGTTTAGGATTATAAAGGCATTTTCTCCTATCTTTTCTTCTGTCATTTAAAAAACCAAAACAAAATAGAGGAAGTTCTCGGAATAAAAATTCAAATAGAAATGATGAAGTTAATTTCTTATTCCTCCAAAAGAGGGGGAGCAGGGAAGAGCACGTATGCCCCTTCAAACTGTTCAGCATGGTTAGCGTTTATTTTTGCAGTAAGGGCCTAATGTAAATATTACCAGCTCAAATCTCCACCCTGTTGCAAGTGAGGGTGGATGTCAGGCTGGCGGCCACCTTGGGACTCGTCAGGACTTTCCCCATCGTGACTGATGGTGGTCGTGGCGTCTACGAAGGCAGCCCTGGGAGGGGTTGATGGAGCATCACGGCCAAGCTGAGCTCACCCCACGTCCCCTCGTTAACCTCTTCAAGGCCCTGTGTCCTTCCCGTGAACTGAAGAAAACCGATCAGCTGATAGCTTCAAAGCTTTCCAAGGAGGTGGATGTCCTCACCATCAGCAGTGATGGTGGCAGGGTCACTAGAGATGCTTCCTCCAAGAAAGTACGATCTGCTAGACTTTTTTGGTTGAGACCCCTCTTGTTTAACTTTCATCTTAAAGTTAATTTAACGTTTATGGCTTCCTCTGCAGCCGACGAGAAAGCCACCATCTGAGAGGATTTTCCCTTGCCTGGCTTATGTACCTATCTGGAGTGGGTGGGCCTTTTTCTGGAGGTGCCTCTCTCTTGGTTAGTCAACAAACTCAGATGAGACATGGAAGAAAGAAACGTGGTTTTCTGTGGTTGCAGCTCAGCACCTTTTACAAATTCATTACCAGTGTATTTTCACAGGTAAAATTCCTCTTGCAATGAAGAGGAGATCGCCCAGGCGCTGAAGGCAGCTGCAATGCACGCTAAACTTGGTGGCTCATGAAATAGTGGGGGGGACCACCACGCTGGCTGCGTCCTAAGCAACATTGGATCAAGTGCTGGCAAAATGGGAACATGCGGCACACTAGGGCAGGAGGAGAGGAACTTCGAGTATTTCAGAGCTCTGTCGTCTTGTCACCCCACGGGAATAACGGGTGGATTGGAAACGGCTCACCGGGTCTTCCCATGACACCATCTTTTATTGGACCAGCATCAAATCGATCACGGCAACTTCTGAGTCAGCCAGTTCTTGGCTGACATGTTCAACTTTTTCAAGGGTTAAGCTGTTGAATGTATGAAAACTTGAGTTTAATCACAAACTTAACACAAATTTGCTACACATCCTAGCAAATTGTGGACTTTTTGATTAAGATACATGACTATATGGAAACAGTCTCTGAAAGATGCAGCTGGAATGTCCTTGTAACACTTCAAACAGTAGGGTGTATGTTGGATGCACCGTAAAATGAGCATATAGCATTCATCAGCGCACATGGCGTTTTTCTTAATGTCGTGTAAAGAAATGCTCTTTAAGTCATGGGAGACTGTAGCTTGAGAAAGCTGTAAAACTCTTGCAGACTCACAGAGCAGATAAATTAAGTAGAACTAATTTGCTAAGAACTTAAGTATGTGAAACTATGTTCCAAATATTGCGCTGCTTTTTCCAGATGAGGACCTGATATTCTTGTTCCACTGCTCATTTGTATTTTCTGGGGTACAACTGTAAATTGTCTCTCTCAATGCACTCATTATATAATGGCAAGGAAGAATAATGATAGTGGCATTTGGAAATGTTTAAGTTCGTTTGTATTCCTTGTGCAGATGGCCTCTGCAATCATAAGTAACAGAGAAATATCCAAGGAATTTTCAGGCAATTAATCCAAGTTTAAAGCCAGCATCATCCCAACAGCAAGCTGCAGAAAATGCCTGGAATGTTAATAGAAAGTACTTCGGGGAGGAATACTCAGTTGTTGTTTTTTTTCCCTTGAAAACCATTTACTGAAAGGGACGTTGTTGATTTATGGTGCCTTCTGTCTGTCTTTCCAGAACTCCAGCGCGGATCATCGGGTTCGACTGGACCTCGGGCTTTGGGACAAATTCAGTGAACTTGCAACCAAGTGCATTATTAAAATAGTGGAATTTGCAAAGCGATTGCCAGGCTTTACAAGTTTGACCATTGCAGACCAGATAACTCTACTTAAAGCAGCCTGCCTGGATATACTGGTACGTATTTTTAACATCATTGTTATGTTTTCTATTTGTCTTTTTGCTGTAATCAACGGGGAGAGGGGACCAAATACTGCCCTGGCCTCATGGTTGCACAGCTGAACTTACTGGGTAGTCTGGTGCGGTCACGAGTGGACTCTAGCACGTCTACAGACGTGTGTTAGGTGGGACGAGCAAACTTTTAAAAATAAGTCCTTATAGTTTGTGGATTTCAGTATAGTTGCAAGAAGGGCACATTTTGGTATTGTGGCACTAACTTGAAATACGTGCAACTTTGGAAAAATTTCGTTATTGTTAAAACTGAAGAGAGATCTGCTTCTCTTCCCTTCCTCCTTCCTTCAAAATGTAATGCTCGGTATAAAGGGTACCTGGAAAGACAGTCCTCTGTCTAATGGTTTAGGAACGTGCTGTACCTGTGGTCATGAGGGAATTCAAGGAAGAAGATAGATAACTTCGGAGCGAGATTTTTGCAGGTTGTGGAGGGGGAACTGGTGTGGCCGGAGCCCAGCAGGCGCAAGCCTGTGCACACAGATCCCCCTGCCTTCGCCAGTGCTGCTGCAGGAGCCTCTGGAAGTGGACACTGTAATGGGTTTTGTACAGATTTTAGCTAAATGTAATTTAATTTTAAATAGGCAAGTATACAACCTGCAGCAGGGTACTGTGCAGGTGGGCTTGGAGTTTTTTCTCCAGACCTCACCTTGCCATTATGTCAAGGCAAGCTGTCTTCCCGCCCTTTGTCTCTGGTGGTTTCTGTCATGCTGACCTTCAGAGGAGCCCTCTGGGTTCTCTGCATTTCTTTATCAAGACCTTAGAGGTCTTCAGGGTTTTAGTGATAAAACTGCTTCTTATTATTGGTTGTAGCAATAACTTGCAGTAAAACAGTTAGTATTTTCAATGTGTTTTAAGCATAATTTAAGCATTTTCTTCTGGGCACAAACCTTCAGGTCTTCATTGAGCCAAGCATGGCTGAGAAGCCCGTTGTAGGATGGCTGCTGTAGATATGTTTTTTGGCATGACACAGGAGTTTAAACCAGGGAATTTGAAGTTGAAGTAATTAATCTTGGAATTTCTAAAAGTGCATTGCTTCAAACAGGATCATATTGAGGAGGACGTTAACTGCTGTGACCTTTTCCTCTTGTTTTGTCAAAAGCTGTTTTGAAATATCACATCTAGAGGACATTGATGAAGGAGGAAGAGGGGTGGGAGAGGGGAAGAGATACCGTTCTTTGGCCTATAAAAAAGGGAAGGTTGAGGTTGCCCTGCCGTGTTCGAGAGTCACCTCTTGTTGTCCCCTTCGTCCCAGCGCTCATGCAGACTTGGCCCTCTCATCGTTACAGCGTGCGGTCCCTCCGTGGGGCAGAGCTGTTGGTTACCAATTGCACGCCTGTTGTCACCAGCTCTGTCCTGATAAGACACAGTCACGTTCCCCTTACACCAAAAGGCATACAGCAATCAATAAACCATGGCATTGCCTTGAGTGCATTCTGCCCGAGGTACGGGACGGGGACTGCTTTGTGCTTTGCTGTTGGAACCAGTAACAAATGGTTAGTACAGAAACTACCCAAAAGATGGTGGGGAGGAGTCAGGATATAGCAAGAATCTGCACGTCCAGACTCTTCACCCCTAAAACTTCAGCCCTTAAGCTGCCACCCCTATTTGTTGCTGCCATGCCCTGGCTCCGTAACCACTGGAAAAAAACCATACGCTAATTCTGTAATTGTTCAGGATCCTGTGAGCTCCTGATGCTCTTCGTTGGGGTGGGTAGTGGGAGCTTACCCCGGGAGCACACACGGCCGCTGTTGCTTGGGGTACCCCCGGCAGCTCCGCTCGGTGCTTGCATTGGCAGCACTGGCTGGGCAATATCAGGTATTTCGGGGTAGCCTTTCTGTGAGTGGCTTCGTCTGAAGTGCCTGGATAAAAGGCACTTCACAGCCTTTGATCAAAGGGACTAAATAAAAGCCTAGTTGCCAGATTAAGAAAAGAATAATGAAGCAGGTGGTAAATGGTGACTTTACTTCAACTAATTAACGGATAGAAGGGGTTGATTCTTTTGTACAATTCACTACTTTTACTTTGTGGCCATGTGGCAGTCTTCAAGCTCTAGTTACAAACTTTATTGAGACCTGATGCTCCTGATCACTTGCTCATTCTCTTTTTTTCTTTTTCATGAAGCCGGAGAGGTGATGCATCTGAGCAAGCAGGGCGTAGCGAGTGCCACAGCTACCTGTAGCAGGGAGGAGCTGAGGCTTTTCCAAAACCAGGAGCAGATAAGACATGGTTGCCGCAAAGAGTCCTAACTTTCCTGCGCGATGCTTACAGGAGACTATTTTATGTGCTGCTTAAAAAGGGATAATTGCCACGAGCGCAGTAATGAGTAGTGCACTGTCTGTGAAGTGCCCATATCCATTAAACCCACATCACCTGCCCATAATTGGAATTGCACTGCAGCTCCATATCTTTATTTAAGCTGAACTTCAGTACTTGGAGCAGTGTTTTAATAGCGCGTATTTCCATCCCCCACCCCCCAGCAAGCTAGTTCTCCTAACCGTGAGTGTTTTGAACGTTTTATTTTGTTGTGCATTGAGATGCGGGGTGAGCGCTGTTGTTCCTCCTGCTGCGCAAGCACGCGGTGCCGGCCGGCGCTCTGCTGCGCAAGCACTGCCACGCATGGGTGTGAGCACTGCCGGCGTGCACTCGCCATCCCGCTGCTGTGCAGTCCCCTGGACGTGGCGGCAGAGCCATGGCACCTGAGGGGTGGGGAACGGCCTGGGGCTCCCAGCCCAGCCAGGTGGGGTGGCTGGGCTCCCCCCACCAGCAGGACCCCAGTTCACCCCCCG